TTCCAACATGGGATTCATTGAGTTACTGCAGCCTCTACAACGCTGTCGAAACTCGTCCAATATGGAAGTGGCAATCAAATGATACAATCTCTGGCCCCATAGTGTGAGTTATGCAAGACGTTTCCCTACCTTATAACGGCAGGTATGGCATGAGGCAAACTCACGAATCCATACAATGGGAAAATCTCAGTAACCATTTCTATCGTTTAAAGGCACCGTTCACAAAAAAGTTAGGGTACCCTTTCCTGACGGGAATTGATAGAACTACTCTAGAATAAAGCGGTAACAACGAAAAAAGCGCAAAAAACGATGAACAAGAATTAAAAATTGAAAAAAAGAAAATTGAAAAAAATTGAAGAATTAAAAAGGGCCAAAAAAGAGCTGTAAAGGGGGTTGGACGAGTTTCACAATGACAGAACGTCGGTTAGAGAGTGTTCGGGCAAGCTGGCAAATTGCCAGAGACGGCAAATTGGCAACTTGCCAGAGACGCAATGTGTTGTCTGCAATGGCATGCAACACATTGCGTCCCTGGCAATTTGCCAATTTGCAATTCAGGGTGGGTCCTGGCGCGATTACATGACACTGTGTCGTCTCGACACTCGTCTAACGTGACACCGATCGAGGGGCGGAGGGCGACCGTGGATACCTCTCCGGTCCCTTATTATGCCCTATCCAGCCGTTTTCCGACCTCATTCCTGCACAAATGGTTTCAGAGGGGGCTTCGAATTCAAACCATGTCCAAATCTCCGAAACCACTTTTTCGTAAACAGTGTCTTTAAGAAATTGGCATGGGAACCTTTTTTACCCAATATTGACGACATCTAATATTTTTTTTACAGAAATTGCTATCGAAGCTCCCAGCTGATTAGTTGACTGACAGTTCAACAAACCAGTTGCGAGAGATGGATTTACTAAGCAACAGCAAAATACTAAGCAAATAGCAAAATTTCAACTCTTACTTCCTTGCATAGAGGTCTTTTTTGAAGTATTAACTATATCCTTATTTATTAGCCTCCCATTGTTAATGACTTACCGTTCGAACAGTACGCCAGAGTCGCTACTTTTCGGTCTACTAGTGGGAAAATATGTAAGCAAAAAATACGAACAAATGTAAGAAGTTAGCAGATCAATCAAAATTGTGGAGGACTGCCGCCTGAGCCTTTCGAGGCGACGCCCATGTTGGGCAGATGACATGCTTCTACCATGCATACCATTGGTCTTGTGAGGCAGTACTTATTGAAGTTGCATTGAGTTCAGCCTCAGAACTCGATAATCCCTAAGCAACGAGGATACTGCAGCATGCAGCATGGTACATATGCTTGCAAACTTCGACAGAAGCCAAAAAAACACCTTGAACTTTTTGTGGGGAGGAGTTGAATGGATACATTGGAAGTATCGTCACATGTTTATAAATCCTGTGTTTTCAATTCACTCGCTTTCGAACAGTAAACAAAATTATCACATAATCAACTCTTCACACACTGTTTTATCTGTTCAGTGAAATTTTAACATATAACTCCGTTAAATGACTTCCCAAATAAACAGGGCACTTCCCAGAAGTATTTATGGTGTACCTATAGCTACACCGCTCGCGATAAATATAGAAACTTCTGGGAAACTCTCGAGAATTTCTCTAAGGAGGTGTTTCTGAGAAGTCTCCTTCAAACGATGCTATAGAGGGAATGTGAATTTTGCTAAATTATTAAGTTAGATTTTTTCCAGTAAAAATAGGGATGGAAAGTGTCAAGTCTTCGAAATAGAAGCCAATTCTGATAACTAAAACCTCATTCACGAGAAAACTATGATATCCTTCTCAAGGATTCTTGATGTGAACTTATTTGAGGGAGCGTAATTACCAAATGCTCTTGCTACCTGATGGAACCTTATAGAATGGTAAATGTTCAGTGAGCAGGAAGATGTGGATGCTACAAGTGGTATGTTACGATGGCACATCCACAGAGGAACCTTTAAAAGTTTATCGGCAATAGTCGTCAACATGGGTAATTCTTCGTTCGACACTTGGCTTGAAGTAAGCTTTCGAGGAAAAAATTGAAAAAGGTTATTCCAAAAAAATTCTTTCCAGAACTCGAACGTAAATGTGAATTCATGGAACAATGTTGACTATGTTGCCGACATGATTGGCCGTTACGTTTGTGGTAAGTAAGATGCAATTACTCCCAATGCTCTGAGCTGACTATAAAACTCGAGTTCAAACTTCCTTCAATTCTGGAAGTGTAAATAACTATGTGAACATACGGGAACTTATAATAAGTGCTGCTAGAGTGCAGGTTCGATCATTGTTGAACCTTTTCTCTGTACGATTATGAGGATGCTGTGAAGATACATCCAGGCGACCAACAATGGTCACTAGTATTACAACTGGCAACTGCACGGTCTTGGCAACCCAAAGACTATCTAACCCCTGTGTTAGAAGAGGTATCTTCAATCATCCCTTTTCGAAAGCTATAACTATTATATAAATTGATATACTCGGAACAAGGCCGGCATACCATAAGTAAGTTTTGCCAAACCCCTCCCTTTTGCCGTAGAACTACTCGGATCACGGCCTCAGCTCTCTCCCTCCCCTGTTGAGTACAGCTCAGTTACTTTCTACAACCTGCGTTCCCATACTGTGGCATACCATTTATTTCCTTAAAGGCACGGTTCACGATAAAAAAAGTTACTGAGTTCTTCCTTTAGGAATACTCAGCGCCACCCATGGGTGGTAGTAGGGAGCCTCTCGCTCCCACAATCTCGGCGCTCAGGGCATAGTGGAAGCCCCGTTGCTGCCGTAGTTCGCTTTCCCGCCCTTCAATCGGTGTCACGTCAGACGAGTGTCTAGACAATACAGATTGCTATTATTCGTTCTAGGACTCACGCACAATCAGCTAATCGCCGAGTGATGAGGCGATGTTTTTCTCCCATTTTTTTCCTCTGTTTTTCTTTTTGCTGCCGCGATCCTTTAGTTAATTTCCTACTCCTAGAGGCTGAAAAAGGTGAGCTACTTTTGCTGTTACTAAGTTTTTTATTTGTTTATTCATGCCTATAAGTGAATGTATTTTTGCTTACCATCGTCTGTTATTCGCACCAGGACCCACACGCGCGCCGTGGAACACACTGTTCAGCTCGTCCGGATGCCCCACTCTTCTTCATTTTCTGGTTTCATTCTCGTCCAGCCCNCCCCCCCCCCCCTTTTTACGGTTTTTCGAGGCCTTTTTTTCACTTTGGAAACACCGATGCACGCAGTTTCTTCACCTCAGTCGCACTAGTTTCGATTTTGTCTTACATTTTTCACCATGATCTGGATTACCCAAAACTATCGTGAACTGTGCCTTTAAAATTTGTCAGGAAATCTCTCCTTTCCTGATGACATGATAAGATTTTCTCAGAACGAGCAAGAAATTCCGTAGGGTCGCAGAAAATTGGAGGCGAAAAGATCGCTCCGACCCTTACTGATCACCACTTGAATACAACACAACCAAAACTCCTTATTTTTGCAACATTGCAGAAAGACAGATCCTCTGGAGCTCTATAAAAAAAACTCAAATTCGAATTACCCTTTTAACCTACGGATAGATTAAACCTCGAACCCATGCCTTTCGACAGCGCATGGCTGGACTCGATCCATATTTTCAGACTGCATGTAATACAATGTACATCATTGAGGCTATCACGTTCCAATGCGTTCGAAATTCAAAGCAGCTGTACTGGATGTAGAAAGACGACTTTTCTTGGACCTAAATATTGTTGTCCGAAATGTCTCCACCGATTTTTAAGTCATCTTTGAATGTAAATTTCTAGAAGAAGAAATCCGTTGATTGAACGATATATCCTCCATTCTGTTCAGTAAGGATCCGCCACTTCCTGTGAGTTTCAGTATCCCACTTTCATGGAAGGTTCCGGACTGGAAATCGAAAATTCCTCTCAGAAGCTTTTTGCAGTCCTCCAGCGGATTCAACGATTATCCATACAAAGAATTCTGCAGAAGCTTAAACAAGTGGTATTCTGATGGTACTATATGCGGGTGTGACAAGACACCCCGCCCGGGCTCCTGCAATATTTGGACCAAAAAAAACGTGTGGTCTGGAGGTGTCCTGTTTGAAGACAACACCCTCACGATTGGCCAGTTCGGGTCACTTCTGGCCTATCGCTGCCTCCAAATTGTCAAGCTTGGTATAGCACCTTTCAGAAGGTATCGTTTCATTATGCGTGGACAGCTCATGATAAGTGATTTCCCTCTAATCCCATCAGCAGCACAGCATAATCTTCCGCACCTGGATTCTGACTTTTGCAGCGGTTTGTGACGGCTCACTGGAAAGGCTCCACAATCGTTTCCGCTCCTCGTTGTTTTACACAATCCACTTTTCGTCTTTCGTGCTCATGCGTTTTAAAAATAGCTCGTTTTTATTTCGTTAGAACAAGGAGTCGCATGCGGAGCCGCAGTCCGTCATATTGCGCACGCTCATTTCGCGAGGTATCCCAACATCAAGGCGCTTTACAAAACTAAGGTCCAGGAGGTGATCATGGATGTTCAGTTTTAAAACGTTAAGCCTTTGTCCTACTCCATAGAAAAGCTGCGCCGATTCACTTCCGTTAAAATTTTGATTCGGCCGTTTTAATTGATGATAGCCCCTCTGAGGGTTGCCGGTCTTCGAGGACGAATTCACTCTATTTTCGCAAACCGACCATGTTCCTCTAGAGCACTGCCTACTCAGACGTCACAAATCTTTCTCGCGGCTTTGGCCGCATTCTAAGCCAAGCGGTAGAAGAAAAGCTTCAGAAGCCGAAATTGCATGCAACGGTTCCCAATTTTCACACGAGTCCTGTACTTACAAACTTTGACGAACGTTGACAGAATCCCAACATGAATCTTCCGGAGAACATATAACTCTATAAGGTTAGGTCCTTAATCTTTTGTACAACAGTTGATGAACCAAGGGTTTAAAACCGACGGAAACTTTTCGGACAACCCAATAATTTGAATATCAACTCATTCTTGCTAGCACGAAAGTAAGCCACCTAAATGCGCATGAGGGGGGTACTCGAAGGCAACAATCGTAATGCTAATCACTCCCTTTTGCAGACATTTCTACACAGAAACAGATGGTCATGCCGAGAAGTGATCTTAGGTGGACGCCCACCCAGAAGCAGCACCCACTCATCATGAGAGGCAGACTGCATAATGGATGAAAGCGCACGATAAATAGAAAACCGATTGAGTACCATTAAAAGATGCCCCCTCATATTCGTTCCAAGTTGGTCAGTCGCCTGTTATCCTTCCGTATTCGGACGCTGTGGTGAAGGAAAACGGAGGCACGCGCCCCTCCCGTGATAAGCGGGAGGGGCTAACACAACATTTGCCGATGTGTACGTGTTCTCACGTCGTGTGGTTTAGGTAACTCGTTTCATTGCTCACGTAGTCCAACACAATTTCCTAGTTCCACTCCAACTGCGCTCACTTCATACATGTTTCGCTCTCTTCCATTCCCTGTTGGAGTACAGCTCAGTCATTCCCTACCACCTGTGAACCCTACTGTGTTTTCCTGTACTCCATCCAAATTGGAACGCTCCAGGTCAGTGGGAACAGGAGTTACGAATATTGATCATGCACGCACAACTACACAGACAGACACATACATACACATTTAGCGAACTAAATAAGATCTTACAACAGATGACTTCCTAACTTCAGATATCTCTACTGCGAGGACCATAACGCTTTCCGCTGCAACAAATCCATCAACAACCGTGGTTTCAACAGGCACTTCCACCACTCGGAGTGCAGCTTCCACCACCACTAGAACCACAGCCTTCACTTCCACTACAACTGCTACGGCAGCAAGCAAACCAACAGCAGTTCCCACCACCACTACATATACAACTTCCACCACCACTCCAGTGACTTCTACGACTACAACAACAGTTCCCACCACCACTACATATACAACTTCCACCACCACTCCAGTGACTTCTACGACTACAACAACAGTTCCCACCACGACTACAACAACAGCTCCCACCTCCACTCCATCTACGGTATCCACCTCTACTCCAACCACTACGGCAGAAAGCACACCAACATTGCGATCAACGAAACCAACTATACCAACATCCACTACAGTATGGCTCAACACGACTGCAACAGGTACCCTCTTCGAAAATCAACGAAAATACGGGTAAGGGCTACAACCGTATTAAACAATAGTACAGCAAAATTAGGAAAAATTCAAGATGCAGGAAACGCTAGTTATTCTTCTGCATATAACAAATGCTTTCGTGTGACATAAGACGGTTCCGGTATACATTATTCCATTTGGCCTTGTAGCTCCTTTTTATTATGTAGAAAAATTCACTCACGTCGAGTAATTCACTTAATTCACTTAGGACTCACAGCGCTAAATGAAAATAGAACTTGGTTAGCGGATAAGGTCCAATCCTAGAGATTGGGCCAGTCGGAAAGTGGAGTAGAAGGGTGTAAGTAGAGACAGGGAATTATGATGCGTGCACGATGTTGCAGTAACATAAAACCAACGCATCTAGTAACAAACCGATGGTGAGTTGCTTGGTAATTTCAATGATATCACGTTTTCATTATCATAGACTGAAGCAAAAACCCCGGGCATCTTACAAGTTGTTAGGCACATCCACAAGTTTCGAATACATATTCACCACTTTTTTGCGATTGCGCAAGAACTTGAAAGTTTTGAGAAGCGTTTTAACGAAAAAGAGAAAACTACCAACCGATAAACAATCACAATACATTCATTTTCAAAGGAATTCTACTATGATACTATCACAGCTCCCATCACAACCCGTGCTCCTACTCCCCAGCCGGAGATCAACCCTTTCTGCAAATGCAATTTGAAGACTGTATGGCTTGATGTTTTCCTTCTTATGGATGCGAGTATTATGATGGGTCGCAATGGGATATCTTCGGTGGGTTGGAATCGAGCGTCCTGATGCATATCAGTTGTAAGTCACAGCGTCACGATTTTGTGCGATAGTCCAAAAAGATTTTTCAAAAGTCTCATCATGGACGCAACAAGAAAAAAAGGTGCTACAGATTGACTTCTTTTTATATACAGGGTGACCCGTAACCAACATGAAGTGTGACGCAGAAAACTAGCATCAAAATTTTACAAATCGAACCAAATAGGAAACATCCACTTCTATACAAAGATCACAAAATTGTAAACAACATATCACATCTCACACTCGGAATGACCATCTTTCTTTAGGAAGTTTTCAAGAATGCGCGCAATCACTTTCAACCCACGCTTCTTCAAGAGAGCTTATTCCCAGAGCGTTCTAAGAACTGTGTTTCCAAGCGCAGGTTTTTTGCTCCAGAATCGTCCATACAGCACGTCCATACAGCAAAATCTAAAGGATTGAGATCGGGGAATTTGAAGGTCAAACCTGCTCCGTCCAAAAACCTAGATGCGTGATTCCACAACATTATAGCATCTGTTTTGCGCTGTGGGCTGGTGCCCAATCCTACTGAAAGGCTCAACTGACGTTCATCGCGTTCTTCTCCGCCCGAGGGATCACCGCATCCTGCAGCCCAGAAGCCGATAAGTCGATTATTTTTATTGCCCGTCACACTTCGTTCGGGTCACCCTTACAAAAGCTAATAAACAAACTTTTGCAACCTTCTAAGCCCTTCATATTTGACACGATTTCCAGTGTAAGTTAATATAAAAAACCAAGCACCTGAGTAATTTTAATACCATCTTTAGGCAACGGACTTCATAGTGACAGCTTTTGGAAAACTGACTGTAGGCCAGGCAGAAAAGTTCCAAACTCGTCTGGGAGTCATTAGTTATGCTAGTAGTGTCAAACTGATCGCCGACCTCAATGAATACACTTCAACGGACGATCTACTTGATCTGGAAATTCCAACACTGAACGAAACTGATACAAACATTGGCGGGTAAGTGAATACCATCTAGATGGCAACGTCAGCAAAGTAGAAACCTATGTATATAATGTGAATTATGGCTTATCGCGTTCATCAAATTCTTGATAGGCCAGCGCGAAAACATCACGGTACTCAGCGGGTTAATAAACTCTATTGAATGGCATAACGGACGACCCTGGCTTTTCGATTCGACATCGACAGCGTCCTTGCACTGTTTTTCAAGGCCATAGGTTTATCATATCAGTTAGAAATTCCGAAAAACATTTTTGTCGTGGAATGCCTTTCGATGGCTATCCTACTTATACATGATATCCGCTAAGTGTGTGAGTGTGTCGGTAGTTGACCAATGGACTGTACTGTACAGGTGCAACCGTTTATTATGACCTGTAAGTAACCTACATAATTACGTTAATCTGCTAGCTCATATACAGATGAATGCGGGCGGTGCCCATATAAAATACAGTCAATGGTTTAGGTGAATAATAAACTAACGGGATAAAAGGAAGCGCCACGCTAACAGCAACACTTAGGATACCTAGTTGAATGCACAGTTAAGAGACCGATAGATTATGCCTTCGGTATCGTCTCAAGAGGCACCTAACTGAAGTATTACCTAGGGTGATTCACTAGACTAGTTTGAATGTATGTACTTATGTGTATGCATATGTGTATGTATTAGGGTATACTCAAATGTATGTGTATGTATATGCATATGTAATGTTTATGTATATGTGGATAAGTGTGTGGGTATGTGTGTGCATGTATGTGTGTGACCGGAAATTCATAAATCTTGTCCCACTGGACTTAGAGAACGCTAAATACGCTATATGAACGCTTATGGTAGGTGGCTTGACCAGACCCTGCCCTCGAGGGCGGAGCATGCGTAAAGTGAGCGTAATCTCAGTGACTTTGCACGGTCAGGTTGAACTAAGGCGGGGTGTGCACAGATTCACGTAAACACACATAAGTTGAGAAGAACTTCGCTTATGAAGGGGAGGGGGAGGTGAGCGCTCACGAAGTGGTGCTTGTGCGTGTGTTGAGCCAAAAATTTTGACCTCCTGTTCTACTGTACCAGAGCGTTCAAATTTGGTTTGATTTTACACGAAAACAGGCCAATTTTACACGAAAAGGAGGACTGCCCGGCCTTAGCGGGACGATCCGACTGTTCTAAATCAATCGTAGCAGCACAGCAGAGCAGAATAATTCTTAGGTAAGTGACTGTTCATTTAAACGACTGCTACAATTTCTAGGGCGATCAGCTTGGCGAGAGAGAGATTCGCATCACCAACCCATCGTCGTGCGGCTCGCCAGGTTATCGTCATCGTCGGAAGTACTTACGCGTACGTTTTTGCCAAAACTTTGTATTAAGGTATCCTGCTTCCTGGATTGAGTGAAGCATGTTTTGCTGGCTCAAGATACGAGGTTCAAGTCAGTTTACTACTAATTTCAATAGATATAATTATAAACTTCAATGCGAATTGTCATGACCGAAGAATGGGCTCGTTGAACCATTGAGCGGACATGCTCATGACAGATTTTCCTCCGCAGAGCCAAAAGCTGCCAATAAAGATAGTTCGCTCGCCGTCGGACATGGAAGTGAGCACCAGATAGAAGCCAACGAAATATGCTTCACGCAATCCAGGAAAAGCTTACCACGTCGCTGGTATGCTTTTAAAAACCCATAACAGTCATTAGTTTCTGCAAGTGAGCTGAGGCAAAATCCAATTCGATCAGAATCAAGACCTTTTGTTCCACTGTATCCATTACTCCAAAAACTAGACCGCATAGCTCAGATTCCCTGTTCTCTTGACTTAAATGCTCTGATTTTGAACCATATCCCCGGTAAGGTGTTCCCTTTACTACCATCTTTTACCCACCGTTCCAGAGCTATGTAAGCAAACACGTCGCCCCGGCTCCGTTCAGATCACGTGTATCTCTTCCATTTAAGTCAGTGCCCCAGCCATCACAAACATTATGCAGGCTCTTCAAGTGAAACTCTTGTACACAAGTAGAAATGTAACAGTAGGGGTGATGAGAAATCTTGAAAACCCGAACCCCTCATATCTTGACTGTTTAGAGTGTAGTTGATGAAATGGAGTGGTACATCTCCAAAATCTTGTTAAGTATTTCTACATGAACATGTTTTAAGACAGACAGTGTACGGCGAGCCAACGAGAGTTGCTAAGGAATTTCGTGCCGACGGAGGAACAATTATAACGATCGGTAAGTGACTAAAATATGCCATTTTACCTGGCCCAGCCTCAAAATGTATCTAACTAAACTTCAATAGCTGGGAATAACAATAGAACTACACAAAAATAGTGGTAGCTTCCCATCGTGAGGTCACTAGCAAAAAAATTTCGAAAGTTTTTCTCTCTGATAAAAAAATTATGCAGTCTACAATGATGTGTTACAGAGTATCCACAAGGGACCGTAAAAAGAATCCCGATATTCAAAAAGCTAGCGTCGCCAAATTATAGACTGGTTAACTACAGAGACGGTAAACAACTGCGCGCTCAAGAGTTACGTCAACTTCTTTGCAAAGGTAATTCTCAGAATCCCCATTACAGGGTGGCTACAAAGTACGGCCCGGTGATTGACCGCTCATAAAACACCAAATAAATGCGAGCCTTAATGAAGTTTTACTATTCAATGGGCAACAAGAAGAGCAAGAATTGTACGAGGTATTGCGCGGGATGATCTATTTGCCACATTAAAAGTTTAACTTCATGGTGTTTCCTCAGTGGACTGCAGGTAGATGACATCAATTTCCTCCCGCTCCCTTTTAGACACTGCTTTCAATCCATCCACACTGCGATAAGCAGAGAATGACACTTTTCGTTGTATATAATTCCACATAGAGTAGTCCATTGGATTCAGGCCGCAGAGTCAGATCTCATGTCCAGTCCTGCTGCAAAATAGATTATGTCCTGCAGTGTTTTTGGAAAAAAAACATCACTGACTACGAAAACAATCTTCTACTTCTTGCTCTTCACTTGCTACAGATCCTTTCAACACGAGAAAATAGCGGCCAATGATTCTGGCTGTTGTGAGTAACTTCATAACTGAAGATTTTTTCGTCGGTCCATGCGATATCCGGAAGATGGCCGCCGTGGACTGCTCAAAGGAGTTTTTTTTGCAATTCTCGGACTCATAATTCTTAGCAGCAGCGGTCGACAACTGCCTTCAGAAGAAGAGATAATCAAACAAATCAATCCAATCTTTCTCGACAATCTTCTGAACGATTCTGCTCGAAATATTCAAGTCCGAAGCAATGCGAAACGATGACAACTCTTGACCTGCCAACCCTTCGGAAGCGGCAATCTTATGATCTCGTTCCTTGTCTTGCGCACGATTCTTCTTACTGCCTTGTAGTTGACATGATCTTCTCTCAAGCTCCACTTTAGAATACCCATGGACTCGTTGCACGATTGTCGCCAGATGTGAATACTGTCGCAATTTTTCTCGAAGGCTGATCAAGAAGTTTCCATATATCGATACAAGTACATATTTACCCTGCTTTGCTTAAGTTATATGTTATGCGGCTCGAACAGCAGGTTAGAAGTCACAAGAAACGTATAAAGTTGGCGGACCACACTTCGTAGCCATTCTGTATTCGCCGCAGCTCTGGTTGCTTCTTGAGTTTTTATCGTAAGCACAGTGTAACACCGATACACATACTACAGAAACGTATATTCTGGATGGGCGATACCGGGAAAAGCCCCTTCTCATCGCCAATGAAACCAGATCACGCCGCACACGTCGCGCTTGGCGCAGCCCACAGCTGTCTCGAGGTGTACACATTCAAACCGTGTAAGGGCTTTGCAGTTCAAATTACCTTCCCGATCGGTATTCAGTAGTTCTGCTTGTTTCTAGTGAAGAATCTCCTCCAATTCAACACCTTTCTGTCTCATTTTCTGAATTTCCTATTTTCTTCGAAGAAGAAGTCCCCGATACGCCTGATAATGCTCCCACGTTGCTTCCGTCGCTTCTTCTACGGGTAAATCTCATTCATTTTTGAAAGCGCGTTCTCTTCAAAGTTGCCTTAAAAACCCGAGGGCGGGAAAGTGATCCAAACCGCAAAACCCTTGCACGGTCCGAACGTGTACAGCTCGAAATCGCCGCTTGCAACGCGACTTACTTGGATGGACGAGTACGGACTGCACCCTGATATACCTAGTCATGGTTCATAGCCTACGATCTTCTTGAACTCGGTCCGCGGCGACCGCGCCTATTTTCCTGCCGTCACTTGTCGCACTCCCTTTAAATTGTCTTTTATAGCTGTGCTTGTCTGACTGATGGGACTTCCTCCCTGTGTCCTCCACGCAGGGTATTTTCCTCTGCGCTTTGATCTTTCGCTGTCAGGAATGGAGAGAAAGTAGTTATGCAACCGTGGTTCATATAATCCATGCACACACTTTCAGTTTACACTCGAAGAACAAACTAGCTATGATCACAAAAGTTCTGCTTCGATTTGTTTGTTTGGATGGCTGAGTTTAATACATGAACTACCTTATGCATAGCTATGAAGCGATGAGTCAGTAAATAGAGTTCAATAGTGAACTCTCGGCAATTCCCTTCTAACGGCGAGAGTTAGAATAATGGGGTATGGACAATTCTTCTACTAGTGAGAGCATGTTCACTGAATATTTCAGCGAATTGCTTCTGTAAAAGAAAATGGGTACCGTACAACAAAGACAAGTGGAACGCACCTCGAGGAGAATGCTACCTTCCCGTAAAGATTTCTTCAACTCAGGTCCGCTTTCTCGATATGATTCGAACCTAGTTGTCACATCTCAGTAACACTAATTACACAGTTGCAAGGAACGCGTAGGCAAAACTTGCTTGAATCAATCTTCAGAATGATCATGAATCCTTCTCTAAATAAGGCCTAGTCGATCTCTCCCATATAGGGATGCTCTATTTTAACGAACGTTACTTCGAAGAATCAAGAAATCATAACGACTCTGTGCACCTATTGTGGGTCAGAGCGGGAGAAATGTGGAATATGTGAGTCTCAAAATGTTAAGCCACAATCAGCTTTTTAAAATTGTGAAATGATTCTATTTGGTCGGGTGATTCAGCGCACAGCTGAGGCCCAGAGACTGCACAGCGCTGGGGGTCATCAGCATTATTCCAATAACGCCGATTATTCACATTCAAAAATTTCGCCCATGCAGATGCCCAAATGTCTCTATAAACTTACCATCAGGGCTTACCTTTTCTGTTCTAGAGTAGAACTTTTCGTACTACATTAGTCATAAATAGTAGTGAGAGCATCATTTGAATAACTACACGAAACATCGTCTGACCCTAATTTTATCTTTTTTGAACCCTATATTTGGTTAGAACTACTAATTTTCGATGAGGCATGATCTTTTCAGAGGTTAGCCAGTCAGACTTGTCAACGAAAAAATGACGGTATACTCGCTGTCGATGAGGACATCAAGAAAGACGCGTTTCTGACGAAGTGTAAGCATTTCCTCACACCGTACTTCGCATTAGCCGTCTGGAAGTGCCGTAGGGCCAAAAATGGCCCGTGTTACTAATAACAGAAACGAATCGGAAGTAAACAAACCACTAGAACATAAAGGAAAGGAACATAAAGGATATACATTCTACGCATTTGTGACATCAAAGGCTATTTCCATCGTTCCCTCGCGGATGGGAATGGGTTAGGAGCGTCATCAGATAAATCGTTATACTTTGTAACCAAGTGAACGAAGAGAGATATAAAGAAACGCATTCATGGCAAAACATAATACACCGTAGCAAATCCTTTCGCAGTTCGCACTTTCGGAATTTTCCGGTCAAACCACCTTGGCCTCAGTTTCCCAGAAGCAAATGCATGGGCATGTATAGAAATGAATGAAATTTGAAGGCAGATGGAGTGCCTAGAAGTCATTCCACTGACAAGGAAGGTCTTTCAGGGCGTGGGATGCTTTCCGAAAATGGTTTTTTNTTTTTTGCATGGTATAGGGGCATGAGCACTGAGTATAGAACTATGGTCCATTTCCGCTAAATGGCCTTCTGAATGCCAAAAAAGAGCGAAAATGATTTTGCCAGAAATTGCCGTTTTAACCCACCAAGCGTCGTTCGTTTCAGTCATGGCGTCGACTGTCCGCATAGTAGAAGGGGCCAGCGGAAGCGACATTGAAAATAAGGTGAACGGTAGCCAAAAAGAGACCCACATATTGAAAAGTGCGGGGAGGTTTCATATAGGCTCTCCACGGTTGAGCTGCCAGAGGCGACTGATGGTGTGGTGGATAGCGATGTGGTCTTCGAGGACGGACGACTAGGATGGGTAGAGGGCTCGGATTTCTGACATTTTGCCGTTTTTGCATTTTATGCACCTCCAGATCGGCTCCATATTGCACCAGGGCCAAAGCATGTGCCTGAAGGTCATGGTCGTGACCAGGACCACCCACAACCTCTACAAATCGTTAGAATTTGATTGTGGAGCACTATCAATTGAGGAGCTCCCAGGCTACACACTCCCAGGAGCTCCCCCTTCCCCCCCCCCCCCCCCC